TATTTGGGATACGTATTTTTTCCTTCTCTGAGAACCCATTCAAAAATATCCTCCTGGGGAGTTGTTGAACCTAAACTGTTTTTTAATTCTTTGTGTGGGTTTTTTATCAGGCCTAGCACTGTTGTATTTTGGAGCAGAATACAGGCTTTTACTTTCCCAGCTGATTAAGAGCTAGGTTGGCTATTGCTACGCAGTGCTAGAGTGCACTGAACAGCCTTGCAAAACCCAGGGTCAATGGAAATGGAGTAAACAAAGCCCATATCCATGAAATTTAATCACTACCTCCTGGTATAAGTGAGTCAGCTGTATTTTTCTTACCTAGACATTAACAGAAGGGCGAAGTACTAAAATGAATTTTGCAGGATGCACCTCGGAGGAGAGTGCCAAAACAGAAAACCCTGCTCACAGTTTGCTACTGATGCCTTTTTTTAAAAAAAACTGAACTGAAAAAATAAAAGGGCAGGTTGGGCCATGAGGACTTCTCAGCATTTGTTGGTTACCATGACTGTTGTACACCTTTGCTTTTTAGCCCTACTATAGAGTGAATGGCTCCCAAGCACAGCTGTAGAGTATTTTGTGTTTTCTCTTTCTGTGCCTGAATTTAAGTGTCATATGACATGATTATGGTTACGAGGCATTAATCTGTGAAAGCTGGAAGTGCAGCTTGGGATGATTCTGGGCTGGCGTTTCCATTTAAGCCTATGACTAGTTAATGCTTTTTCTCAGGGTAAGGTCCGAATGCAAGCTGTGTGTCCTGTCAGAAGGTAACTTCACTGCTGTGCAATGCCTCTTGGTGGTATAAAGACAGTGACTGTGCTCTGTGAGCAAGTGACTTTTTTTTTTCCCCCCCTTGTTTGTGTGGCCTGCTGACAGTTACAGCATTTGTAACTACTTCATACTGCAGAGGCTGCACTGTACAATTACTTTATTGCCATGAAGGGCAATGATGTGAGCTATAAGAAGGGAAAAATGCTGGCAATGCATCAAAAGTCTATTGTGTATAGTGTACGTACATAGGTAGCGTGTACCATGAACAGGGACTGGGTCCCACTTTCCTTCCATGTCATGCTTTAACTTTGCCTCATTTAAGTCAGCCAGGAGAGCTGCTCTGTCACGAAGTTTGGGGCTTGAAGGGCAGCCAGTGTGCAGGGCCTCGGTGTCAACCTGTTGTTGTAAGCAAGTCCAGAAATGCACTTTTTTTCCAATGACTTGACTTTGGGGAGTTCTGAGACCAGCCTGACTTATGACCCTCTGTTACCATAAGTGGAATAAACATAAGCTGGGTTTCAGATGGCTGGGGCAGTGTCACCATTATGGACATGCTGGTTTACAAGCATTTGGGGGAGACTGGAGAGTTGATAAGACTATATAGATGAGAATGGGGAGAAATTGAGTCTTGGAAGAAAAAGCACTCATTAAAGCCAAAAATAGATTGATTAATACATTATTTCTACATAGTTCTGAAGAGTAGTAGAGATGAGTGTGGGGAATACTTTTTTGTAGCAAAACCAGCTTGCTGGTTGTGCTTTTGCTGGCTGTATGTTTCTCAGTTCCTAATCTTAACAATGCTCAGTGTGTTGTTTGTTTATCTATTAAAAAAAAAACCACACACACCCCAAAAAAAACCAACCAACCAAACACTCCCAAACCCACAAGCCTTTAAGAAAAAAGGGGAAAGATCTGAAATGCAGGTAAAGCTCTGATAACTGGAGAGGCGGCACCAGTGCTCAATCCATGTCTCAGCTGTGTGATGGGAGAGATTTTTTTTTTTTCTTTTTTACTGCAGGCTTGAAACAGCCTGCGGGAAACGCATGTGTTAGCTTCTGCTGTCTTGGTGTCTTGCTTGCAGCCACACCGTGTCAGCCAGGAGACACTCAGGATTCAGCAAAGGGGATGAACAGCTGTTTCAGATTCATTTGGTCTGTTCAGTCCAGTTTGTCATTGCTTTTTCTTGCCATGTACTATTGTTACAGCAACATGACCAGCAAGGAATCAAAGAATTCTCTTCTCAGTTGAGGGCTGAAAGGCAACAGGCTGAGTTTGATCAAGTTGCTTGCTAGCTTCATTTAGCTACTCGTGTGTCATTCTGAGGAGCTGCAGGCCAGGAACATGTGCCTTTGCAGTGCTGACATCAATTGAAAAACTGCAGGGTTTGTGTTTTTTTTTTTTAAATGATCAGATGATTATTTTTTTATGTAGTGTTGATATATGCTGCCACCTACAGCTAATATCTCCCAGTGCCTTAAAAGGCCTTTACTCTGTAGTTGAAACTCATACCAGTATTTCCTGTACCTAGTAGAAAGAGGAAGGAGCCTACTTTCAAGCCTCTGCCCCAACTGAATTCCAGAGGTTGTATGTGAGCAGAAGTTCCAGCTTCATATGCTGAGCTTTCTTTTCTGAGGTTAGTATATACACACTCTGATGGCTCTTGAGTTCCTATTGTTTGGTTTGCCAATTCTCAGCTTTTGTGCACCTTCCAGTTCTGAAGAATGACATGACCTGGCTACTGGTCCTGTTGCTATCACATGCCTTTCTGATACCTGGGTGAAATTACTCCTTTTTGAAGGAGTTAGTCCTATGCATCACACTAACAGACTATTTTTAATACATTACAAAAAAAATTTGCCAGGTAAGGTCTTGTGCTGTTTTCCTTAAAAGTGAACTGCTTACACCATGAAGTTGTTACGAAACAGTGAGGTAAGAAGATGAGCTTCATTTCCCCTAGTAAACTTAAATGCGAGGGTCTGTGATGTTAAGTGCCTAGTGGGTCAGTATCTAGTAACCAATGTAGCTTGCTGGAAAAGATGTTTTTGTTGGCTTTTTGATATCACAGAGCTTCTGATATTATAAGAGCTTCTCTTAGGAGGGGGTGTTTGTTTCCACAGCTTTGGAGGGATGGCTGGAAAGAGGTGGGCAGCTTCCACAGCAAAATGCTGTCAGAGGGAGTTACCAGATTTGAAAAATGACGCCTCATCAGCTAGAATGGATAAGGACATCCCACATTTGGCTCTGACTACAGCAGGTGATTTGTTTGCTGTTAGCACAAGCAGTAAGAACTAGCATAGCGTAGAAATGAATCCATCGGGGGAGGGAAAGAATAAATAATGAGAACACACCACTGCCCTTTGCTGCCTGGAGTGAAAGACTGGTGCCAGTAAACTAACACTGATATTTACTAAGCCCCTCCCAACACTTATTCCTGGTACCTTGATTATTTTTTTTTTAATGTTTTAAATCCATCTCCTCAAAGATGTACCATAGTCCAAGGTAAAGCATGAAGTAATTGTGTAAGTGACAACCTGTAATGGCTTAGGAGCAGGAAACTGTGTTTAATGGAGCATCAGTAGTGTTAGTCCTGGGATCCTCCTGTGCCTGTGGCAGCGCTGCTGCTGCTGTGTTTATTTGTGAAGTGCTTGGTGAAGTGAGATCTGTAAAGCTGTTTTATAATACTATCACAACCGTGACTACTTAAACAATATTTTGCTTCCAGTTCAATGTAAGGTTGCTTATTACTGTAGGTCTGCTGCTGGACCCCTGGCCAGGGCATGTGATGGAGTACACTGGGACAGGAGCTGCATAGTAAAGCTCTTGCTGCCACCACAGCAGCTGGGAACTACTGCAGAGTCAGGGATGGCCCAAAAGTCAGGGCTCGTGCAAACCATTAAGGAGGAGTCTCTACCTACAGACTGTGTGCTGTGCCAGCTTCTGCAAGCCCACAGCTGCACTTGCAGAGAAAGAAGCCTTAGGGCACCGTTTCTGTGTTGTTACAAATATGACTTAGACATCTTTGTTTTTCAGGTTGTTTTACGCTTCTACCAGCTTAGGGTCCATGACATCACTCCAAATCATCACAAAGAAGAAAAATAAGTAGTACATTTATTGAATCCACTTACTACTACTTCTAGCCTTTATTCAGACACTTGTGCTCAGTTTCGAGAGCCAAGAATTTCTCATTATCATTCAATGTGAATGATGCTATACATGAATCCAGTGCAGGAAGTCGGGCTCTTCTCTCTAACAGCAGTGAGAGAGGGGTTTCTAGTCTTTCTGTCATTTTTTTTTTGGCTGCACAAAATAACCCTTTCCAAGGGCACATGAAATAAAATACTATATTGCATACTATATACATTTACATACAATGGTAAATGCACCATTCATTCAGAAATACACAATACCTAAGGCTCAATGGAAAAGCTTGGTTGAAGCAACCTCTCTCCCCTGACAGGAGAAAAGGAGCTCGTGACAGGTGTGGAAGATTCCATAATCCGTGTTCATATGGATCCTGCCCCTCCGTTCTCTGGAACTGCAGCAATCTCCAGGGACCATCTGTGCCCAGGAGAGAGGGATGATGGCCCACACCACTCCAGAAGCCCATGGCTCAGCAACAGAAAACATGTACAACCATGATGGAGGATTTCCTCTGAGAGTAATTACCCAGCAACTGCGGGAGGAGGCAGAGCACCTTAAGTGTACTTACTTGACTATGTGCAGAAGTAGTAAACTAAACAGCCCCTTTTGGATATAGGAAACTGAACTTTCCCTTTGTATGTGAAGGATACTTAACTGCTTTTTGCTTTTCTCCTTGGATTGTTGGACTGCAGGGGGATTAAAACAGCTGCTAGCTATCAGCATTATGTGATAGGGGCCCTGGAGCTGTTGGAAGGAGAAAAATGTTGCTTTGCTTTTTTTTTAAAGCTGATCAGAGATGGGGATCTGAATTGTCTGCTTTCAGCTGCATCAGCCTTATTTTACAATACCTGAGTGTTGCCTCACCTCCTCCAGCTGCACTCCTGCACTAACACATGCCTCCAAAGTGCTCTAAGGGGACATACTACTCCTTAGTTAATCTTTTGAAATGTCGAAAGTCCCTGCAGAGAAATACTTGCCCCGTTGCCATATATGGCAGACAACCTTTTCTCTAAGATAACAAATCAATTCTGTGTGTTGGTAGCTGCAGCCTTGCCTCCTCTCCCACTGCCCAAGTCACTGGACACGTATCACACCAACAATGCTGCAGGTAAGAAGAGGCAATCTTCTGTCTGTCTCCAAGAAGGTGCAGTCCCCAACGGCCACACACTGTGGCACTGTAAGTAACGATCATGGCCACTGCACTCTGTGTGGGGAGGAACAAGGTGTTCTTGTACCTTGTCGTTGCCCAGCAGAGTACTGGATAAAAGCTGGGTTTCATTGGACTAGATTCCCCTTTTATTAAGCTGCTGCTCTTTTCTCAGCAGTGGGCTCGATAGCTCACCTCTTAAGTCTTGACTTCTGGACTCAGCGGAGTAACACGTTAACCCTCCAGCTAGTGCCCGTTTCATATACCGAGAAGAGTAATTTTAAACATAAAGTGTTAACCGTGCTCTCTCTCCCTGCTCAAAGTAGGGCAGGCATTCCAGATCCTTCCTGCAAGTAAAAGTGTAACACACCATTAATACTCAAGAATGTGATTTGCACTCCATGCCCCAGGGCAGTGTCAGAGGCAGCAGCCCTTCGTAATAGTGGGGAAAGGCTCCACATGCACATTCTCTGCTCCTGCTCGTTTGTCCAGTTGTTTTGGCTTGACAAGAGATGGCATCATAGCACATGGTAGAGCACCACACATCCCAATGGCACTGGGGGCAAGGGAGTCCCTCTCAGCTCCAGCTGGAGTTCTGCAGTTCCTCTCGGAGCCAGGTTGGAAAGGGCTGCCCAAGTCTGTTCATCAGCTTGGATAATTCAATGTTGTGCTCCCGGTAGAAGTCTCTTAGGAACAGCCGTGACTGTGTGGAAAATACAGACCACGTTAGCATGAAAGAAAATGTTACCCTCAACACGTATTCCCTAAGTCATCTAGGACAGAGGTAGTAGGAAAATCCAGGTTGGTTTGCTGGGATGTTGCTACATCTTTTGCTGCCAACAGATTTGAGACAGTTACTCACCGAGGAATCCATATCAGGGTATTTTCTTCCTTTACTCTTTCCTAGGCATTTAGTCTTTCCTCCATCTAGCAGCTGGCACCAAAATCCTTTTGCTTCATCAAATCTGAAAAGGACACTTCTCTTTAAAAGACATGGCCACATGCCTAATTAGTAGCAGCAGAAATTAAGTAATGCCATAGGTATTTCCCATTTCAAAGCTTTACAAATTGGGTTTGGGTTTTATTTATTTGTGGTATTGGTTCCCTTTTTTTTTTTTTTTAATAAGAACTTGCCTACTTTGACAAATCCATTACAACCATAACTGTTTCAGCTTTATGTAAATTTCAGAGGTAACCTGGTGTTAGAATATTTGTCTGTTGAAGCTTGGAGGGAGGAGAATAATAATCAATGCTTTAGTGTATGTAAATTCTTTAAAAATCTCATTATAGTTGTGATGTATTAGAGAATCCCCTGACTGTTTAAAGAGTCCGTGTTTCTTTTCTTCCTAAAACACAGGTATAAGGCAATGCTGGGCACCATGCCTGGGTCTATCCTGTCCCCTCAACTGGGCAAAGGGGAGCTTGAGGTTTGAGCCAGTACTCTGAGGCGAGCTGCCCAATACCATTTCTTTTCTGACCCTGTCTGAAGGGCAGCAGCCAGTACCACTACTGTAAATAGTCTGCTCACCAGCACCACGTGTGCTTCAGCAAGTAAGGCTTTCAAAGTCAGCTGACATTTCTCTAAATCTGCCCTCCCCTGGGGAGCCACATGCCACCCCCTTGGAAAACAGCTGTGGGAGGAGAACTGAATTGGTTCTCCTCTCTTTACTGTGAAAGGAAAGGGCAATTGCTATATGCCTACACACATGCACACACCCCTCCCCCAGCTAGCATAGGCAGAGAAAATGTGAAAACACAGGTTTCAGCTGCAAAGAACAATATTCAGGATCTCCAGGGGGCTTGTAGAGTTCCTACTGAAGACTGCTACCTTCAGCTAGCGCTTAATCTATTCAGATTAATTGCACTTGCACTGGGGGTTACATCACAGTAATGGCTGAGTAACATCCTTCAATTTAGTAGCAGTGAGGTACACTCACACATCCTCAGATAGCTCTGGGCACCTGTCAAGTCCATGTCTTCTGTAATAACAGGCTCTTTACCTTAAAACTGTGCAATGTGTCCCTAATCCCCATCTCGTTGAAGATACAAGCAGCTTGTCACACATTTTTTATCATACCTCCTCTACTCTGTCAGATATAGGTATAACAACACAGAGCATAAGGAGCACTAATAATTCCAGCACCTCTTCTGAAACCACAAAGAGCAAATGGAAAACACTGTAATTACAGCTGTGAGCAACCTCATGCTTCTCCATGACAGCACCAAAACCCACCCCTTTTCCTATCATTTCTGGAAAGACTAAGCTATGATTCTAGTCTCAGTGTAGTGTTTCATGCTATCTGAACCTAACTTTAGGGTTAGGCATACCTCTGAAACCTTGGCAGGTCTTGTAGTCAGAGATAAGTATTCTTCCAGTCAAGTGCTTATTAGTATCACACTTGGCTAATAAAGTGCCCTCCCAAAACCAGTTTCCTTACCTGAGGGCCTGGGTGTAGTTAAAGAGTGGTGTAACTCCCAAGAACTTCTGGATGTTGTCCATTACGGAGGCAGGGTTGTGTCTCAGCTCCTGGCCATCCACAATGAGAAGCTGAAAAAGAGAGCAGCTACTTCAGCCTCTGGCAGCTTGTGCTGAGTGACACCCGTGAGCTGCTGGCTCTCAGAACTGCCCCCGGCCTTTGTGCCTGTGAGTAAAGTCTTCCAAAGCCTGTTTATTCTAGAGCAACACGACGGGAGGACACGTGGCCCATTTGTCACCATAGACAGAGAAGTTACGATACAGGGCATGGTACTATAAGAGTAGATCATGACAGGCCTTGCTTAGTAAATGTGCCTTTTGCCACACCCCTGTAACTGGGGATTAAGGCCCAGCAGTAGCATGATTTACAGATTGTCTCCGGAAACCTCATGTATTCTTTTTAGATGTCAGCAGCCATTCTGCTAAGTATTCTTCTGCAACTTCTGATTATTCTTCCATTATGTGTATAATAGACAATTATGAACAACGTTCCTGCTAATAAATTACCTAGTCCAAGGAACACAACAGAAAAATAGTCCCATGACCTGAAGTCTGGGGACCTGTAGTTAAGTACAAGGATGGTGTGTCTGGCTCTGTCATTCCTCACAGCAGTAACCTCCAGGAACAGCGAGGCAATGTGACACGAGCCCAAGAATGTTTTCCCGTGTCTCTTTTAGTCTTGGCAGATCTCGCATGTACAGTTTAGGCTACTGCCTTGGCAGAGAGTAAGAGACTAAATGGGCATTATAAAGCTCTGCTGGATTATAGACTGTCTGAGGATAATCCCAGCAGCAGAAAGGAACTTGAAAAAACACATCCTGACTCACAATGTATTAGTTTTTAAATTTCTTGGGAGTTTAGAGACAGAAACGGTCTATATTGTCTATTAATTGACTTTTTGCAAATTTATATACAAAACAGAATCCTGACATCTCTGCAGTGAAACTTCCCTTCAGCAGACAGCTGAAGGCTTCACAACATGGGAACCAACAAATGGCAGAGTCCAAGAGCCTCTTTAAAGCAATGAAACCACAGCAAGTAGCTGAACACCTACTGGGCTTGAAGAGGGTCCCTGGGCTGCAGGCTGCCAAGATGAAAGGAGTGCTAACACTGCTGTTCTTGCTGAACTTCATGTTCTGGAGCTCTCTGGGAGATCACAGTATCCCCCTTCCACTCATTTACTTTTACAAATACAATAAAGTGCAAAATTCAAGCCTGATTTCTTACCAGCTCAGGAAGCAAGTGGTGGCTTTTTTTCCAAAAGACAAGACAGAAAGTGAAACGAAAACAATGGGGAGGGGAATGCATACATGTGTTATAGTTTGTTCTCCTCTCCACTAACCTACAAGGGGCTCTAAGAGAGCCAAACCTCCTACCTGCCCAGAGGGGTAGTACGTGAGCCAGCGCTCTAGGTGACTTGAATACCAGCCAGGGAGCAGGCAGCGGCTTTGCAGGTTGCGCAGTTCCTGAGGGGCCTGGGATTTCGCAGAGATCACTTGGTAGAAGGTGTAATTGAGTGCCACAGGGTCATTGTGAGCACGCTGGTGCTGAAAAACAAGCTGAATTCAGGAGCAGGAACACACAATTCCACCTTACGCATCTCTGTGCAGGCCCCACTGACTCGGCACAACCACCCAGTACTGCCTTTGTTTGCAACTGCCCACACTCTGCAGGCAGCCTGCATCATCTCCCCACCCGCCCTGTGGACACGGATCCATGGCTTTCTGCCTCCCCCCACTGAACATCTCTGTCCCTCACGCGCAGAACAGTGCAGGGAAGTTACCTGGTACCACGAATAGGCTCGGTCAGCAGGGTTGATCAGAACAGTAATGATTTTGGCTCGAGGAAGCAGGGCTGCACCACGTTTTGGAACCACCTCTGTGTCAAAGTAATTGGCACTCTTCTCAAACATGAAGTCAGTGCTGGCATTGGAGGGGATGGGAAAGAATTCCATGTACCTGCCAAACAGACAGGATGCTGGTGAGCAGCATGGCCCAACAAAGAAATAGCACACAGGACAAAACAATGCCCTTGCTCCTCTTCAACAGACCAGCTCGCAGAACTGCACCACCCCAGTAACGCAAAGAATGGGCAAATGGGTGCAGAGCTGGCAGGGGCACGACTTGGAAAGGGGTGGTGGAGCACAACATAGAAAGTTGGAGATGATAAAAGGGTAAGAAAGTATTCTGGTGAGAGTGTGTTCCCCAAGTCTAAGTCATTTGTCTCTTTGTACATCAGTCCATAGCTGAGACACAAGGTCAAGAGCCCTGCTCTGCATCATAGGAGCTTGTCAGATTAGTAAGATGGAAACTCTTAAGGCATTTGAGTACTGGTAGGGTAGAGGGTAATTGGGGGACAGGGCACTAGAAGGCACTGGAAGACTGGTCTCTGCTGAAATTTAAGCTGTACAACGAGCTCATTCCATGCTAAACACAAAGACTCTCCTTTTGCATGTGATGCTACACTCAAATCAATTTGGATAACTTTCCCAGGGGATGCACATAAAAGCCCATCTTTCTAGGCCTAACCGTCAGCTAGCACAACTGCTCTGTTGTCACTCAAGTACCAGTCACCTTCCAATATCTTTTCAACAGTCCTCTAAATGATCAGAGAAGCGAGACAAAATCTCCCACAGCTCACGGGCAAATAATGCCTCACTACCACACAGCCGTCCCTCAGAGCCACACATGAGGCAGTGTAGCGCCACGGTCAACCCAAAGTTAATGCTTTGAGCAAGAAACAACTTTAAAATTTCTCTGCCTGGAAATATAGTGGCATAGTAGTGCCACAGTGACACTAGTATTGCCCTGCCAGGTGGGAACACTTTATCAGGATTGCATACTTGTACAGGTAAAGAACAGGGTATGCATGTGGACACTGGAGCCAGCACAAGGAATGCAGTGACGGCTGTAAGTCTAAAGGGCTCAGAACTTCAGTAAGGAGGTTGTCCCCTCTCTACTATGTGTCTTAACTCAGAAACCGCGAAGAACTTTCTAATAAGCACATTGTTGTCTGTTTTGCACATCAAAGGAGAAGAAACCTCATGACAACAGTGCATTCAACAAAGACTGAATTTTTAAAGCTAAATCATGCCTAGAAATCTCTGGGAACAGTCACTAAAATCAGAAACTACCTGTCCTGCTCCTGGGGCTAAGCAGTTGGGTTAGCAGGGAAACAGAGAACATGCGCTGAGCAATAGCAATGAAAACAGCTGTTCAGGTCAGGAATAGAGAAGCTACTAAGGTGGCTGAGGTGGGCACACAGAGAGACTCAGGAGAAGACAACGTGGGCACACCTTGTCACAGAACAACACACGTCAGGGATTCTTACCAATCAATTCCTTTATGATAGTTGGGTCCATTAAAAAACTGGATCTCCTCAAAGGTGGTTGGACTTGGGAAGTTACTGGTGACAGCTGGATGCATGGTCAAGAAGAAGTGCACAGCTGTTGTGCCTGCAACAGGAACCAGTTAACGGGACCTGGGTCACACACAATGCTTGGCTGAATGAAAGGCTTTTCACTGCAAAAACAGTCCCCAAGTGGGCACACTCCTTAACTCACACAGGTTACAAGAGCGGTGACACCAAGCACTTTGGCATTGAACTCAGCAGTTCAATCCCACGTTTCAGTTCACGCAGGTGATTTAAGTCACCTCTTTAGCATGACAGCCATCACCCATTTCACCTATCTTGTGTTCTTACCGTGGCTGGGCTAATGCACACATATTTTTTCCCTGGTGGCACAGCCACACTGTCACATGGCACAACCCATACCTGCCAAATAGGAGGTGGCCTGGGCACTGCAGGACAGCATCACCTATTTGGGAAGGAGATGTGCTAGGGACAACATCAGTGTCCTTGCTGTGCCATTGCAAGCAGCTTGGGTGGTGATACAGGAGGGCCCATGCTGCACACACAGCAACAGAGCTTCGCAGTGACGCAGTGCGAAGGCAGGAGACAGCAGCTTGGCTGGGACAAGGCCAGCATCACTGTTTGCTGTGCGTGGTTTGAAGACCTAGCTTCAAGACCTGGGAGACTCCTCAGGACAGTATATACAGATAGCTCTGCCACTGCCAACCACAATGCCACAGCAGTTAAGAGGTGGTGACAGAGGTCAGACAAAAGAGGATCTCTGCCTCCCACTAGCAGTGACATGGAGCACACAGTGGGTGCACAGATCTATCGCAATAAAAGCACTTGGGGGCGTTCATCATAACCTTTGCTAAGCGTGTGTGTTAGTCCTGCTGACAGCTTACGTTTGTGACACACTAAGACAGGTCACAGTTTCTCTGAGCTTATGTGGAAAAGCCAAAACACAACTCTGCAGGTAGGGCTTTTCCCTGCAATCACGACTGAGCCAAGCAAAGTGCGCAAAGTACTGACAGACTTGCCAGATTTAGGTTAGAACAAATCTGAGATTCTCTGAAATGTCCTCTGTGGCCATTTGGCAGCTTGCACAAAGGGCAGCCATACAGACCTACAACACAGACCTTTCCAGCTCTCCTCTCTGGAGGAATGAGATGGAAGCTGCAATCTATCTTTCGATAAAGTATTCACATTACCGGTTTTCTGAGGTCCCACGATGAGGAACTTGGGGAGTCGATCACATGTTTTCTCTTTGGACCAGATATCCTTGTGCCTCTTATCGTCACAGGGATTCTGCAGCACAAGTGATGGGATTAAGCATTACCACAGGAGCTAATGGAAAGGGGAGGGAAAAGCTGGAAGGCCAGTCCTCTCAGAAAATGCTCTTAGCACGTGAAGAATACTTCACAGCCACACTGCTGCCCTGCCAGGCATCAAGAAGAGTTAAGTAAAAACACAGGGGAACATTTTAAAAAAAGTCTAACATGACACGGAAGCCAAAGTCCCTCTGAGAGTGTTAACCACAGGCCCTGCCCTACGCAGCCATGCTGGACTGGGCCACTGTGATAGTACAGCTCAGCATCTGTGAACTTCTGGCAGACAGACAACTCTATCACCTTCAGTTAATTTCATCTGCTCATTACCATGCAAAGAGCTGCTGCACTGGGATAAAATGGAATAAGCATGTTTTTATTTAATGAACACGAATTCTGCAGTGTGAAATTACTTTAAGATTAATCACATTAACATGCTTTGCAAGCTCCTCCAGCACCAAACAGGGTTCTTCCTCACACACTTCGCATTTCACAGCAGCTTGCTCTAATATAAGCCCTTTAACGACCCAAATGCCTGCAAGCCTGCCCCCCAGTCACCTATGACAGCCATCCCTGTCCCTAAGCTCACACCGTGAGTGTGTCCTACTGCTCCTACTCCCCCTCCCTTCCACCTTGCAATTTGCCACCTGCAGCCTCAAGCCACAAAGGTTAAGCCTAAAAGTTTTATGCATTACCCCTCTGTGCTCTGGATCAGCAGTCTCACCACGCTTTACAGGTGGGACATACTTCTTGGAAGACCACTAGGAGCAGTTAAAGCTGCCTTCTCACCTGCCACAAGGGATTCTTCTCCTGGGGAAAGATTTCAAAGTACTTTTTTGCAAGTTGGACAGGGGGTAGTGTTTGCAGGCGAAGGTTGGTCCAGCACTGCACAAACTTGACCAGGCTCTCAAAAGTGTACAGTCCCAGGCGGTCATTCCCATAGTTGGACAGGTGGGTCATGAAGATGCTGATCTGAAAGTAGAAAGGACATGGGATACTGGTAAATCAGGTAACAGTACTGTTTCCTCCTAGTCCAATTCCACTGTCAGCAAGAGCCTGTTCACATCTCAGACTGCCTTGGCTGTCTGGGTTCACAAATGTCGATCTGCCAGGATACGGCAGTGCCTTGATGAAAAATGAAAGAAATGTAGTGCTTGCAAAACAGGGGGAACTCAGGAGAGGAGGGACACAGACCTCTCAGTAAGCCCTGGGAATGGTGTGGTGGGGTGCTAACTGAGCCCTGGCTGTGAGTCGAGAGCCTGTCAGCTTTCATTCACTTTGGAGTGTAAAGGAACAACTGGCAAGTCACAGTTTTAAATACAAACAAGTGTACCCAGGGATCTGAACATGGACTGCAAAGAGACACTGCACTAGGACACTGTCCTAGGAACGGACACCAACTGGTAAGGTTTTAGCTCACAAGAACCTTCAGCATAGGCAGCCCCTGAAAAATGTCCTGCCAAGCCTGAGGATGCAAACCCTTGGGCAAAGTGGCACTGAGCACCCATGGGAGCCCCAGCAGCACTGGGGTGCTTGGGAGCCCATGTGCTATCTCTCTGCCTTGCCAAGCCATCATTTCTCTCAAGCAGATACACTTCCCTCCTGCTTGTTTTTCAGCATTTTAACTTTTGGAAAAGAGTGCGAAAGACTGCTATCAGCTTGACTCTGGTGCGTGGCTTTGACAGGTCCCATGGCATTGTGCATCCCAGTGCCTGTAACACAACATGCAAACCAAGACAAAAACCACACCATGGCTAGAAGTTAGGAAAACAAAGGCAGAACACTAAGGCCAATGGAAAAACGACTATGTGGATGATTTAGCACTCCCCACCCAGTGTCTGCTAGTACAGGGAGGGGAAGAGACCTCAGTCACAGCAGGGGTGCCCATTGCTGCACAGTTCATGGCTGAATCCTGTGATGCCAGGTAAGGTCAGCAGGCAACAACAGTCTTCCCTGGCAGGGGGCAGGAATGGCTTTCCCACTCACAGTAGAGGAAGAATAAAAAGGGGAAGCAGGAGACAGATGGTCTTGGGATGAACACATTTGCAGACTCAGGAGGTCTGAATTCAGTTTTCTGCCCAGTATCACCATGGACTGGTCTGATAGGAGGTACTGACAGATAGTAGCTCTTCGTGTCTGAGCCAAGACATTGTGAAATGCATTTAATCCTGTCCATACAGTGCTCACGCCCCAGGGCCTTTGGGAGGCAACAGAAAACAGTGGCAGGACTCTGGGACATGTGGAAGGTAAGCAGAGTTAAGGATTTATCACATTTGTCTGCCTGTGAGTTTTTTACTTCTGGTTTCCTACTGAGCTGACAGAGAGGTTCTGCCAGATGGGCTCTGGTGCCTATGCAGGAAGGACACAGGTCACCACCTGGGGCACCTTCAAGATTTCCAGAATAAAAAAAACCCTGCATGTGACCCAGGTTAGCAACTGTGTCTCAAGACTGACAGCTTTTGGTAAAATGGCTCACACAGGTAATGCTGTCACCTGCAAACAGTCCCAAGCACCTGGACTTAGAAGATGACAAGCCCAACCAATGAGCCATTTCCCTGTACTTCTGAGCAGTCATGTCCTGTAACCCATGCACTGTTTAACAAGGCCTGGCAGCTTGCTCTGCCTCGTCACAGCTACTGCTGCCAAAACAGCTCTGAGCACTACTTCTGACATAAGCTACACTCAAATCCCATCTCACCATCCCTCCCATGCACACCCAGTAAGCCTGGAAACTGGTTTGGTAATAACACCTCCCTCCCCTTCCCCTCCCTTCCACTCAGCATGCCATGGCTTCCCTTCCTTGACACTGAGGAAAGGTCACAGAGAACCTAGAATACAGAAAACAGGAGGGTATGAGCATCCTTGCAATATGCAACAAGCAGCTGTGAGCACAGCAGTAACCTGCTGGCGTAGTGTGAGAAAAAGTGTTTGTGAGAAGTGATCACAAAGATGCCATTTGCTTCTGGGAGATAGTGACTGGGCACATGGCAGCCTGTCTGCTGAACATCAACAGTTGTTTCCTTCCTGACATCAGACCTTTTTCACTAGTCAGAAGATCAGACGTCTTCTCTTTGCACTGTGGAGTTAACCATAGGCATACAGGCTTGGAGACTCCTGCACATGTATACCCACTCAAAGGGAGCTGGAAGCACCAGAAAGGACTGAAAGAGCCTGGTCCAAGTCTGCCATGGATCACTGCTGGGGTTGTGGGGCTGGCCAGCTTTCTATCAGGTCTGCGAGATGGCTCTATCAGTGAGGGGAGGAATGCAAGGGTCTGAGTCACTGTGCAAACACAAGCAATGAAGAGGAGCTTAGAGCACAGTACTCCACTGCTGAGAGAGAGAGAAATGCTCCACTGCCAAAAGGAAGCAGAAGTGTAAACATCGGAGCATCTGAAGGCGCCTGAAAGAGTTTTAAAAGTCACCGCAAAGAGCCAACAGTAAATCTGGCAAATAAGCTCATCCTGTACCACAGCACAATCTTCCCCAACTTTTTGGATCACAGATCGCTGCCAGCTGCTTTGACCATCACATGCTTATCAGCAAATTTTAATGTGTAGCTCTAGAAACTACATTTCTACAAATTCCTTGGCACAGCCTCCTAGACCAGCAATCATCTCTGGATTACAGTCTGGCAACTGGTTTTCCAAGAGAAACCTAGAGCTCTTAAGTTTCACAGTGGCTACTTCTGCAGGCATTCTTTAAGATCTGACAATTATGAAGTGCGACAAGGTAGAATTCACCCAACATATGGGAAGAGAAACCCACAAAAGCAATGGTCACAGAGAAGAAAGCAGTTTCCTTCCATCTGACCGATCACTCCATATGTAATGCAAAGAATAGCCTTCTCCTTAATACAGACTTTGATTAAGCAGGTAGATTTGGTTGTGTCTCAGGCGACCCAGACAGAAGGCTGGCTTGCAGATCTGGAAGTAGGAACCCCTACAGCTTTTTAGCTAGGGCTGTTAGAGACCCGTATCTTCTGCAGATCATACACCAAGCCAGAGCTGGTCACAGGCTAACCTTCAGAAACACAGGGCCTGTTTGTAACCTACAGCCTGTGTGATGCACCCAGGGCACATTGTGAAAGTCTTTTCACTATCACAGTTCTACTTCTAGGAGTAGAGAAGCACTAAACACTAGGAAAAGCAGGAGACAAGAAAAAATTAAAATTGAGGGAAAAAGCTTGATTTTCTGATTCACTGATCCTCTACAGCCCCAACCAAAAGTGGCTAAAGCTGCACATTCAGTCCTGCAACGAAGATACAAAAGAAGGAAGGAATGAAAGAAAACATCATGGTGCACAGAGCCACTGATGTTACATGACAAATCCTCCAAACAAGTACGCAATGACTGGACCAGTGCTCCAGGGTTCCCACCTAGGAAGTTAGTGAGAAACCACCTACTTTCTCAGATCTGCTTGCATGGCTTCTTGCCAATACTCAGGCACTGGTGGAAAAGATGTATAAAGTAGAAGTAAAAAGGTAGAAATTTGGAAGTCAGGAGAAAAGAAAAGATTAAACTTTATTATATTCAAGAGTGGCTACAGAAGTAGACATTCTAAAATCACTATGTAAACCTGGCAGGGTAATGCCCATTCAGAGAAACGGAGGACAACAGGTGCCAAATCAGCTTTAATAAGAAACAAATTCAGGTGGGGAATTGAGAAAGTTACTGTACCATCAGAAAGAGCAACATGTCTTCCTGCTGCAGCCAACAAACAGGAATGTGAGGGAATGGGATCTGCGCTTGGAGAGAGCTACAAAAGTTAATCTCCTAATCTATCCATTCAGGATTTTCTAAAAATCACCCCTTTTTTGTGTCTCTTGCCACCTCATACATCTTCCCAGCTTCAGTAGGAAGTGAGAAACTCACGTGATTTGCCATTCATGGCTAAGTACTGGGAAAGGACTGCAGGGTGTTGAAGGTACTACATTGGCTCAGTGGCTTGATGGAACTGGGAAATGTTGGAAAGAGAAACACCCGTGTCAGACCCAGATCTCCCAAAAATGCCTTAGGGTGACAGCTACATCATAAAAACAGCATATGGAAATTGTTTCAAGTGTATACATATAGAAAGAAAGGGGAGAACACTCCATAACAAAAGCCCACAGAAAGCAATTATTCTGAACAAAACTCATCAATGAACCAGGGGAGAAGCCAACAGGCAGCAGATGTGTGTGGAACAGAAGGAGCCAAGACACATCTCACTTCTGATTCTTGAAGATGCAGCAGCCTAGGTAACACCCACTCCGTTGGGTCATGCTCAGCATGTCACCCTAGCTAGTTTTTATCTGCAGAGTGTTGCACTTGTCAACACCCAATACTGACGCTGCCTTGGCAGTGTGTAAAGCAAGGCAGCATTAACTCAGAAGTACTTCCTTGGCCCTCTTTTTCACATCCATCTCGATAGCATCACACTGGAGATACCCACACTATGATGGGTGGTAATACTGGATCTCCCATAACATCTAGTCCTTTCCCACATCGGGCACATAAGCCGAGACACCCGTGCATTGGTTCCCCTTTCAGATGAGCTTACTGGGTTCAGGAGCACTGTCAGGAAGAGTTCACCACCACGAATGCTCTTGTCCAACTCCTTCGAGCCACCAGGATATTCATTATAGAAGATAGTGTGAGTAAAAAGACCACAGGTCTGTCGAGGCAGAACCTGGCAATATCAGACAAAAGCAAAATTAGGTAAGAGGCGGATGCAACAGAATTTAGACATGAATGTGTCACAGCAGCACTCTGTGAATCAACATAAAGAGTAAGGGACATAAGCGACATAGGTTCAGAGGACTCTCTTGGTATTCCTCCCAACCATTTACTCATCACAGTGCAAACAAGTCAGTGGGATCTCAATTTAGTCTCCTTGTGCTAGGTTTTGCTCTCCTTCATTCAGTACTGACCTCTGAATTGTACTGAGAAACACAGAAACTGGCTTTAGGCAAGATTTTTCTCTTTGCTTGACTTAATGATTTTGGAACACTGGTGATACTAAGATTAATGTCTCTGATGCAGGTCACTAGAACACTGTCCCTTGGGCAGGAAACTGGGGTCCGCTCGCCTAGCTGCGCTCACCATGATTCCATTATGGATGAATCCACGCCGGTACCGGGCAGGCCGTAGGTGTGGGTATTCCTCTGTGCTTGTTACTTGGATGCTCCAAACGGATTTCCATGCCTCATAGAGTTGTGTGTGGACAGGATAAACCCCAGAATGATGGGGGGCTACAGCATAGCCCAAGTCTGTGGGAATCCCATGCTCCTGAAACCAGAACATGCATCTCAATCATTCAATATTTATAATATGATCCTTAATAAGGATCATATTTAGCAATAGACTCCAAGTTGGAGCAAGGTGACAGAGTAACATGTAAATTCTCCGGATTGGGAAACCTGGAATACAGTTTGTTCTTCTTGTTTTATGCATCTATGGAAATATAAGTGTGATTCTGTATCAACAAGGACCTTCAGCACTGGTAACAGCTGCTGTAAAAATGGTCTGGTAGCTTGCAGGTGTGACAAATCAGATTAATTCACAAGCCTCAGGTCAGGCTCCTTGGTTACTACAAAGTAATCAATGCTGTTAAGTGACACATCTCACTCCCACAATGCCTAGATCTGAGTCACTAGAGGAGGAAAACAAAATTTCCTTAACTGATATAGAAGGAAAGGAAGATGACAACTGGGCTCTGTCTTTCCTCTAGCAATTCAAAGAAAAGCAGACATGAAGCAAGAGACTGTTGAGGGTGAAGCTATGGGGCCTGGAGCTATACTACAATGGCAGGAAATATCTGAATTTCATGGGTTTTAATTATACTATGTGGTTCTGGTAACAATGACGACAGCTCTGCCCTGGTGGTGTACAATAAAACCAGAGCCCCTAAATGAAGCAACAACCCTCTCCTTCCCACTGCTAGCCTGTTTTATGTTAAATATGTGTAATTGTGTTCTGTGCTTTGTCTCTCTTTGCAAAAGACTGCACTGTTATTTAACCAGGAAAAGAGGAGGCCTAAATTGTTTCTATAATGCTGCAACTGTGCTCTGAATTCAAGATCATTCCTAATCTGTGTGTGTCATGGGAACATAAGACAGCAGCCAGATATTCCCAAGGGGATTACCATCAAAAGAACCAAACTAGAGTTGAAGAGGACATTTCTTTTCAGAGAAACATGTACACTATATTCAACTCTGGGCTGTAAGCATCAAACAGACATTGTTCCAGCAATGCAGGATGTTCAAGGCTTCCCCCTCCTCTGCCAAAACCCAGGGAATTTCCCCTAGACTTCCTAGATAAGTAACTTCCTTCAGCATTGTCTGCAGAGGCCAGAAGTAGGGCTGTTAGCATTTTATACTACCGACCAGGTGACTTCCTTACAAAACCACAGCGAATAAGGATGGAAAAGGAAAAGCTTTCTCGCTGCCAGAGTTTGTAAATTAATTGGATTTGGATGGTAATGCTACAAGTTCACACCTCAGCAAACAAGAGCTTTGGGATTTGCACCCTGGGGCCATGCAGGTGCCAGGAAACACTTCCCATTGCACATGCAGGCACCGAACGGTGTTTCTTGCCTGAAGACAGCAGGAGCCACGCACCAATTTAAAATTTCAAAACTGCCTTTCTTAAAGGCAGCTGAGTTACCAGAGTAGCATTTGGGTTTAGCAGGGTCTGAACAGCTATTCCAGGAGAAGAATGTTTAAGGACTAATACTGTAAAGTAAATAAACTGTGATGCCCCTTACCACAGCAAACTGTTTGTTCAGCTTCATCTGCTCAGCCAGCACAGTGACATTGTGGAAAAGATGAGGCTGCATGTGACTCCACATGTGAGGGAACCACCAGAACTCCTTCCTGTGTTTGAGCAGCATGTCATCCCCTTCATCTTCCTCATCTGTACCTACAGAGAGCAGAAAAGGAAGCGCAAAAACAAAAGGCAGAAGAGGGGCTCAATGTTTCAAAGCATTGACTAACCCCTGCAATGCTGAGTCGTTCCAACAGAGAATCATGCTCCCACTAATGTGTTACACACATACACAGACGAAGATGGGGGCCATATGCATGTGCTGGGACAAAGGGGTGCAAGGGGCTTACCTGTGTGGTAGAATTTCCCTGAGAAGCCCAGGTTGAAGGTGAAATTTGGGACTAAAGTTCTCAGCTTATTCTGCGTGCTCAGTAAAGCCTGTTCAAATGAAAGAAAAAAGAAATGTTCATATTCAGTTGCTCTGTAACATTTCTCTGTGCTCTATCGGTGCCCAGTTCAGTCTGAAGAGGTATCACAGGGGATGGGGCTATGGCATCGTTGCCTGTCGAGTGAAGCAGAGTAGCCAAGTGCTCCACATACAGTCTTTACTTGAAGTAATCCTGCCGTACTAAGTGATGCCACTTTAAAACCACAGTCAGATGATGGTCTTCACTTCAATGTGAAGGACCCAGAGTGTCTGTGCTAAGGCAAAGGAACAATAAATCACTTCCAAGCAACAGATCCCTTACTCTTTCCAGGTTCAACCTCAATGCTCCTCCCTTCCTCTCCCATGTTGGCTGTGACTTTGCTATTGAACCTCTGCCCTTTCTCTGAGCCTACATGTTAATGAAAAGGAGGATGGGGCAGCACATGATGCACAGTCGAAGGAAAAGTCAGTAATATCCAAAGGGATATAAGTAATCCAAAGAGAGGGGGCTTTTATTTAGAGAGGAAAGGTGGATTCGCAGAACTATCATGCAAGGGATCCTGTCATGGCAGGGCAGTATCCCTGGCTTTGTGTCCCTTAAAAGTGCCAAAATCCTATTGTAGCAGGAAAGTATCCTGGATTCTGGAAAGAAAACTTGTGGGAGCTGACATTCACAGTCATGACTCTTGCTCACTTGTGTCTGCTTTAAATGTCCAAAGTAATTGCCATAATCAAAGGGAAGGAGCCTTGTGCCATAAACCCCAAGGTCTAGCAGTGTACAGAGTAAGACAGCAGACAGCCTTGACAGGAAAAAACCCCAGAGGTTCAGTATGCCACAGACAAGTAATACACAAACTAGTTCCAGTCAAATTTCTTCTCCTGGAAAACAATAAAAAGAGAGAAGCCCCGAGATGCACGCTCTGCTGCTAACTGTGTGCTTCGGGGAAAGTGTCACTGGTGCAGCTCCCTATGGGAGAAGTTCTCAATCAAAGAGGGACCTGGCAGGAGGGCTGTTGGCAGGTGACTGAGATGGTCCTTGCCCAGGCATTTATTTAGATTTTAATAGCTTTTCTAAGAAAGCAATGGATCAGTGGCTGCACCAAGGTGAAGGTGATGACCTCTCAACAGCAGACTTGGGCTAGATGCAAATACACGAGCAATTTGGCACATAATACTGGGGAAAGCATACAGGCTTTTAAACTGTGCAGGGGAGATGGACAGATCTTTCTGTATCAGCTGCCCTTCCCCAGCCTCAAGGAGCACAAAAGGCACTACAACGCTGCCGTCACATGGCTCACTCTCTATAGGCATTGTTTAGGCACACTGCTCCCTAGGTGGTGAAAGTGCAGTCACAAAGGCAGACTCTCATTCAGTGGGGGGGACCAGCCTTGACACCTACCACTTAAGGATATCCTGAGAAATCACTGCTGTCACTAATATTTCAAAACAGTGTTGACCAAACACTGATCATCACATTAATTTAAAAATTATGACTTCTGTAATTTACTTCAATCAGCCATGCACTGCAAAAGTATCTTGGAGCAAAGAAGCTGAGCGGTTTTATTCCCAAGGCAGGCAGCCCATGACCTCTCACACACAAGGTGGGAAGACCAGACAGATTATTTCTGCAGTGCTGCAGACACTCTCAGTGCTCTCTCTGAAGGAACCAAGCTTTCAGACTTTTCCCTAGAGACACACTTAATAGCCTGATCCCCCTCCCCACAGTCACACAACAGTGACATCAAATGCAGCCTAGGACAAATTTCAAAGATCCCAGCTCCTTCATGGCCACATGCCAACCACATCCTTACCCCAGTGCCCACCCAAGAGTAGTATTTTCAGAAATGTATGGCACATGACATCTCCAGAACCTATCACAAATGTAGGCAGTGCTTTTAAAAGGTGACATGCCAGCAGCACTGATCGCTGAAGCCTCCTTTGCTGCGTAAGATCTAGAATAGGCAGTGGGAAGTCAAATTCCCCTCAAATGACCCCATAAGACACAGGGACTCATCCCACACATCAGAGAACACAGACTAAGAGCTGTGTGTCTCTCTACAGAGAAGTACCTGTCTGCCCAGCTGGATGACAATAGTGCATCAAATTTGGGACCAGCACCTTTAACATATCACCCAGTACCTTAGACAGGAAAGTGCCACTTTCTTTTCTTGTCTCCAGAGCTGTCCCAAGCCTCACCACCTCTCTCTGCTGCCCTGAAAGGCACATCAGGAAGGTGGAGGGAGGAAAGACAGCGGTTAAGAGGCTTAGCATTCCTCTACACAGAGAGAGATTTAAAGCCTGGCTGGGGTTACCATGACGACACATCTGTCTGATGATAAATCCCAAAAAGCCCTGCTCCAGCAGGCAGCAATCCTTTGTGTCAAGGGAGGGACCAGGGAAGAACTGTGGGGGCCCCAGAAATTCTGGGACTGGAGTCCTATGGAGTCTTGCTTTCCTGGTGGGTTTACTGCTAATCGTGTGCCACCCCTCTGCTGATGCTGAGTCCTTTTCGCAGCCACATCCATAAGGTGGCATGGCAGAGGTTTGAAGACATGTCTTTCCCCTGCACAGGATAAAAGAGACTAAGATGCCAAGTAAAATATTTGGAAATTTGTTTCAACAAATTATGCATTCCCTAGCACACTGGTTCAGAGAGGTCTGTGAGCTGTAAGTGAAACAATACAGATGTGGGAACAGGCCAGGAAGGTGGCACTTCTCTCTGCTCTGACACCTCTGCACTGTTTCTTTTTTACAAAATAGGATGAATATAATAGTACTAATAATATCTTACAGGTGACTCAAGTGGCATTTCATTTATATCCATAACATGCTCTGAGATTCTTAAATGAAAGGCAATCAAGAAATGTGGATGGAGTAGGCTATCCATTAAGATATAAAATAGCTAGCCAGATGCAAACAGATCTTCATGTGCATATTTAAGAAATTTAGTTGCTCATGTGGTACAGGACAGAACGTTAGCATTTTAGCTATCCCCTATTTCTAAAAAGTAAATTTTCTTCCCCTAGAAAACTGCCCCTCCAATCCCTCCAAGTATTTGTTTCATATTTTCTAACTATCTTCCATTCCAGAAATCCTTCCAAGATGCCGCCAAGACCACCAGCTAGCCAGAAAGGCCCCTTCCCCAGCTAAGCTCCCTGCTAGAAGCTCAGCAAAGCTCACCCCAGGAAGGAAGAGATGGGGTCTCCAAGAGATTCCCAGCATTGGCCACCAGACCTCATAAGCCACATCAAGGCCTGACCGGCTTCACGCTTGTCACAGTCTATCAGAGAACGCCATCTGCAACTCACAACCTGTATTTCTGGAGGCCTTTAGTACTTAATTGGGGCAGCCATGCTGCAGATCCAAGTGACAGCTGCATTCCAATGCACACTTCTGGACACAATGCAAAAAAGGTCTAAACTTCAGCCTGATGTTTGATGCTCATCACTTTAAAAAAAGGCTTTTTTAAAAATTTCAAACAATGATAAATATTTACTTCTAAGCAAATGTTAGGGGGAAAAAAGTTTAAAATTGTGCCTAGTTGCAACACATTAAAAAAAACCCCTATATAATCTTGCTGATGGATCTGCAAAGATTTACTCAACAGTCACTACAAGCTCTTGATGCCATCCAGTGAAAGACAAAAACTCTCAATGGGGTTAAAATTCTAGGAGTGAGAAGAATTCAGGGGAAGCCACAGCACCCTAACTGTACCCTCTTTAGGTTGCTTCTTTAGGACCTAATCCTCTTCTAACATGGCACAGTGTCCTTGGCATCGCAATAATACAGGACTAAATCTCGGTGCAACTCTGCTTTTTCAGCTATGAAATTTTTATCTTCCAAAAGTGTTTGCAGAGATTTTAGCTGTTTCACACAAACCCTAAGTATTACCTCCCCTATCTCAGGTCCCTCTAAAAAGAGGCAAAAGAAAAGGGGGAAATAAAGTTGAGAGTCAGATGCTGGGAAGAGAGGATTTAATGAGTCTAGGAAAACACTACATGGACAAATGAAAAGAAACAGATGATAAAAAAAATGGAGGAAGAAAGCAGAGTGCTTTTACAGCCTTTTCTCAAATGCTCATGCAAAGCATACTAGGAATGTGTTGCAGAAACAGCTTCTTCATAGGAACTGCCCCTGTGGACATTGGGTAGAACATTCTCAAGAGGATTTTCTGCAGTTTTCTCACTGCCCAGCAGTAGCACTGGCACAGCTCAAAACAGTGCTGTCAAAAGAGAAAGCATTCATGGTACTGGTATTTCTACCTCCCCTACAATGTTAGAATTGGGGAGTTAGAAACTGCTGAATATTTTCATTTCAGGTAAGATCATCCTCTACAATTTAGACAGGCAAGAGCTGGCTGACGGCCACCCTCACTACATTCTCTCTCTTCCACCCCCATCATTCATAACCCAAAACGAAAGGACTGTCCCTGATTTTCACTTAGCTTGCTCTTAGATTTGCTAGCAACAACTGCTCACTATTTATGCCCTTGTAGAGATTACCAGCAAGAGAGGCAAAACCTCATCTACTTAATCTTCTTTCCTCTTACCTAAAGATGACCAGGAAGGATCATAAAAGCCAGATCCTTTTGCATTAGAAACAGCTCGTTGACCAGTTCCATGGAGGTTTGGTAAATTCCAAGGATTATTATTTTAGAAGAAACTGCACGTGGAATAATTGAAAAGAGATTCTCCAAGATTTAGTTTTGTTAATTACGTGCAGCTCAAATCTCTGGTAAACTTCACAAGGGAAAAATGTTTTCCCTGTGCAACTTCGAACTGTTTCACTTCAAGTGAGGACTGCAAGCTCCTGCTGTAGCCCTTTGCCAGAAAGAGGAACTCAAGGTTATCATCTTTAAAGTAAAAGCAAGTACGATTCCTTTTTTATTTTTTAAGAGGAAAGCTATTCAGCCCTCCTTTAAGCATCACAAATAAAAACATTTCTCCATTCACTCAGGACATCTACCATGGGCATGCATGTGACCAAATTATATTCAGCACTTTCTTTTAATAGTAATTTTGTCTGGGAAGCTCTCTGAACGTGGACCTGCATACGGCAAACAGGCTCACTGGGA